AAGTCGATCACCACTGCTCAGCCTACTTACAACTTCAGCATGTTTAACAAATAAACTTCTCTGTTGTTCACATAAATTTTGTCTGCTGTAATACTCATAATCCAGCCCCTAAGAATGAAAATTTGGACAAACTGCAGACAAACTGCACTTGGAACCATTACACAAAATGATTTCTGGCTAATCTCATTAAAATATTAGCCCAAGACTCACCCACATTTCCCTAGCTAGTAGCAGTTAGCAGTACTAATAACACTAGCTCTAATACTAATGCTAGTACTAATAACACATCTAGCTCTTACACAGCATAGCTTTTCCACAGTTTTTGAACATTGATTTCAACATCCTTTACAGATCACCTCTGATCTCCGTTAGCACTACACGTTTCAATGCTGAAGTCTCCTTTGTACAAGTCTGCATTGCACGCTGGGTCAGGGTACACTTAGAACTCCTAAGTAGCCAACAAGGCCCAAGCCTCCTAAGTTGCCCACGATACAACTGGAAGAAACATCACCATATCAGAACTACTAAAAGCCAAGTGAATGAGGCCTAAGGACAAAATTTGGGTGCAACAACAACATGAGCTAGCATCTCGTTATCTTACACAGTATTGGGTTCTCTGTATATAGCAAAGCAGCCAGCAACAGCTCACAGATCACAGAATCACAGAAGGTTGAGGTTGGAAGGGACCTCGGGAGATCATCTAGTCCAACCTCCCTGCTCCAGCAGGGTCACCTAGAGCATATTGCCCAGGATCACATCCAGACAGGTTTTGAATATCTCCAGAGAAGGAGACTCCACTACCTCTCTGGGCAACTTAGTCCAGTGCTCTGTCATCCTCACATCAAAGAAGTTTTTCCTCATGTTCAGATGGAACTTCCTGTGGTTCAGTTTGTGCCCCTTGCCTCTCGTCCTGTTGCTGGGCACCACGGAGAAGAGGCTGGCCCCACCTTCTTGACACTCCCCCTTCAGATACTTGTACGCATTGATGAGATCGCCTCTCAGTCTTCTCTTCTCCAGGCTGAACAGGCCCAGCTCTCGCAGCCTTTCTTCAGAGGAGAGATGCTCCAGGCCCCTCATCATCTGTGTAGCCCCCCGCTGGACTCTCTCCAGGAGTGCCATGTCTCTCTTGGACTGGGGAGCCCAGAACTGGACACAGTACTCCAGGGGAGGCCTCCCCAGGGCTGAGGAGAGGGGCAGGATCACCTCCCTCCACCTGCTGGCAACACTCTGCCTAATGCACCCCAGGATCCCATTGGCCTCCTTGGCACATTGCTGGCTCATGCTTCACTTGTCCACCAGCGCTCCCAGCTCCTTCTCTGCAGAGCTCCTTTCCAGCAGATCAACCCCCAGCCTGTCCTGGTGCCTGGGGTTATTCCTCCCCAGGTGCAGGACCCTGCACTTGCCTTGGTGGAACTTCAGGAGGTTCCTCTCCGCTCAGCTCTCCAGCCTGTCCAGGTCCCTCTGAAGGGCAGCACAGCCTTCTGGTGTGTCAGCCACTCCTCCCAGTTTAGTATCATCAAAAACTTGCTGAGGGTGCACTCTGTGCCTTCATCCAGGTCATCGATGAATACATTGAACAAGACTGGACCCAGGACTGACCCCTGGGGGACACCCACCGCTAGGCTACAGGCCTCCAACTAGATTCTGCGCCATTCACCACAACCCTCTGAGCTCTGCCATCCAGCCAGTTCTCAATCTACCTCACTGGCCACTCAGCCAACCCACACTTCCTGAGTTTACCTACGAGCCCCTCTGCAGAGTTCTATGGATGTGCTCTTTGTCTTTCATTAATTTCTATCTAAATGATCAGCAAACGTACTTTCTCACTGATCAATAACAACTGGTGAAGCCAATGTCACCTCATAAGTCTCAATTCTCCTAAAAATCTTCTCATGTACTCACACCGTATTTTTTTCTGGAAATAAGAAAATTGCTTTCCTATGATTTGGATGTTCTTTTTTTCCCCCCCTCTAAATGAACAGCAGTATTTTACAACAGCCTATCAAAGCAGCTTCTGAACAAGCTCTCCAAAAGCACTAAAAGATGGCCTGTCTTAGCCACTACTAAATCTAGAAGGATATTTTTCACTGACTTTAATAAAGAACAGCATTTGCCTAACATCACAGTTTTTAAAAGCCATCGTTTTGACTAACGTGATTCAGAATGGCATAAACTGAAATGCTCTGAAAGTCTGTATTTTAGATTAAATATATGCAATGATATAGATTAATATGATGCCTTTCCAAAGGCGTTGTGGACTACCTCTAACACTGACCCCTCTGTAAAACAGAAAAGTCAAAAGAAAAAACCTGCTAACAAATTCTCCAGATTTTAAAAGAAACTGGGCTACTGTAAACTGGCTGGTTTGAAAGGATCTATGTTCCAAAATAGGCTTGCCCTTCTGCAGCTGGACAGTTTGCAAAGCCAGCTGGAATTCTCTCTAGTGAGCTTCAGGCTTGCAGAACCTGGAGCTCAGCCAGGTTCCTCCATCAGCGCTGGCCACCCTTAGGCAAGCCAGCTGCAATCTTCCTCTCCCGGACAAGTCCCAGGCAAGGTGGCCAGCGGCTCCTTGCTGTGCTCTGAATGTGGGGAGCACTAATAAGTGTGAAGAGTGTGATCATTGTCACCGCAAAAAAGTCAATACTTAGGAACAATTACTACTGTGATATGCATGCTGCTGGAGTTTGCATGGCATGTGAGTTGATGGCCTTTGCGGTTTATCAGATTGTTTGTGCCACAACTCTTATTTTATAACGCTACCTTTCTCTGCATAGAACTAACCCAAGGGCCATTAAAAAGTGCTCAGTTAATATAATATTTGAGTCTATTCATTAGTCACATTTTCAGTAAACTAAAAACAAAGATAGCCTGTTTTACAGTAAAGCGAATGAATTTTCATCTTTTATGCATTCACTTTTTTGTAAATCTTTTCTCATAGAGAAATAATTTTAAGCATAGATTTCCTCTCCACACTTTGCTACCTTTGTGAAAATGTAGCCAGTAAGCTGACAATTCAGTTCTAGATCTATCATCTTCTCTCAGACAGAAAAATGTCTTCTTTTGCCCATCACACCAATCTCCCCAATGTGTAACTCTAGCAGTTCTCAGCTCCCATATTGCACTGGCACATTGAATAAGACGACAAAGCAACTCTCCACATTGTTAATCTTTACTCATATTAATGTCATGATTGCTTGCTTTGTGTATGCATTGGCACGTGAGAGAGAGAGACACAACTCAAAAGGTAAGTGAAGGTAAAGAGCTGTCTTCACATAAATTTGGCTTTTCAGAAAATATTCTGCAAGAACTATAATCACAAGAGTGAGAATTCCTGTGGATTTATCAGCATATTTTTGTTCTACATCAGTGTTTCTCAAAAGGTGGGGTGCAACTTACTTGGTAGTCATGAAAGTGTTCAAAGGGTGTTGCCAAATGTTGCAAAAGAACAGCATTACCTGGCAGTAGCTCACTTTTCGGACTGCAGAGTAAGATGACGCTGGAATTACTAGCCATAAGCGTTCATACTTGTCAGAAACTAGCTAGCTGCTGACAGAAATTCAGTTTCTCAAGACAGGGAATAATTTTTATAGCTACTGCTATAGTAAGTGCAACTAGTTCCTCCTCCCCTACCTTGAAGATCCACTATAATGTTGATTCAGTGTTATGTAAAATTAAAGGAATTGAAAAGCAGGCACAAAAAGCTAAAAGACATCTTTTTAAAATAATATAACAGTCCAGAACGGGTGGGGAGAACACTGATTGAAAAGAATTCAGGCTGCTGGACAGAAAAACAAAAGCAGCCAAGTTCAAATGCAAGACCACATCCACATATGTTTTGTGTGCGTTATAAAAACCAAAGTCAGGTGTTTTTAGCATCAAAGATGTTCTTATACCTTAAAACTACGCTCATTGAAGACTGCTAGAATTATATTCATTTTATTTTAAATTTAGTAATTTAATTGCTAGAAAGCATTTGTGTGGTTCAAATGACCCAAGGCTCAGACATTTTGAAACTGTGTACTGTTACATTTAAATTAAAGCAAAACAAACATTCTCTCCCCACACAGCCTAAACAATATTTATGTCCTTTGTAGAGCCTATAAATTCAAGGAAAGATCAGTGTATTGTGCTACCTTATCACATTTGCATTTCAGAATCTTGATAATACAAATTTTCATCAACTCCACTTTGAAACCAAGGTCAAGTATTTTACTCACGTGTACATGCAAGCCACAGACAAAGAAACTCCTAACCCTTCTCTTAGAAGGATACCTGTATAAACTTACGGTCTTTGTAGAAATTCTAAACGTAGTTTAATTACAACTGTATACACACACATGCGCGTGGCTCCTATACAACAGTGGGATAAATTCATCACCCTCCTACTGAGCAAATGGCTACACAGTTGCTATATTAACAATGCCATGAAATCAGTGAGTCTAAGCACGTAATACAATAGTTTCCAATGTGCATGAGGAAAATAAGTTTTTGTAAATAGCAGGGTACGGCACTATTTCTAGACAAAACATACTGGTACAGTACAGCTGTTCTACCAAATTTTATAACTATGTATAGAATATTTTAAAATGAAGTACAGTTAACTTTAATGCAAACTAATCTAAACAAAATAGTATACATAATAACATATAAAAAATATAGTTTTGCTTGCAAGTCTTGAAAAGCTTTCTGTTCTACTTTTGTAACTAGGTAAGAGTCCACTGGGGTAATGTAACAACCGCTCTATTTCAGAAAAAAAGGCCAAGAGCCTACAGAGATTTTCTTCAATTTACGAGATGTTAATATTATTTAAATCAATGGGACTACTGATAATACATAAAGGTTGCGCACGTATGTAAGTCTCCATAAAATGAGATGCTATCAGATATCACAGAAAATGATATAAACAAAAGAAAGCATTCTTCCCAAACCTGAAATAAAAGTAACATTAAAAACTGCTATTCAGTCTGTTTAGAAATTCTCTTTTATACTACAGTACCTACCAGCTGAGAACTCTGATTTGACTGTACCACCTTAACCTGAGGAGGCTGCACCGTATTTGATACAGAGACCGTGCAAATGTTGTTTGGTTGCCTTATTCCTATTGTCTGCGTTGTGACAACAGTGGAAATACTTCCAGAGGCAGATTGAGGTATAACTTGTGATAGCTTGGTTTGTTGAAGTGACTGCTGAGACGGCTGTCCTTGCAAAACTGAATGTTGACTATTCAGTAAAGATTGTCTCAATGCAGGTAGACTTTTCTAAAAACAAAGGAAAGTTAATGAAATTTCAAATTTCCAGGTTGTCGAAAAAAACGTTTTGAAATTTGCTATAAAGATAATTAAAAGAATACAGCTTTCTTTCCAATTATACAATCTGTCTATTATTCAGAAAGACATAAGATTGAACATACTTCGTAAGAGGAAAAGTTCAGTTTACATTTTTAATAAGCTTTCATTTTGAATTTAGCAATTCTATAGATTTCGATGCGTCTTAATTCCACCATGACAGGAAAATATGACATCCTCTCATCAACACTCCCTACTCAAAATACTCAACTATCTAGAACTTTTAGGAAGGGCAAAAAAGGGAAAAGGCAGAACAGTAGGATAACTCTATTCCCATTGCATGCTAGAAGTGGTAAGCTGCACCCATTTACTTCTGACGTGCCTCCAGTACCTAGAACAAGATGATTTAACTGTTAATGCCCTACAGCAATAGTTGTTTACTGTAAAATTACTGATCTAATGTATTCTGACTGGATTAGAAAAGTGTACCATTGTATGCGTCATGTTCAGACCAGTTCAACCAAAAAAATATAGTTCTAAAAGAATATATTGTATCTTTACGAATAAACTTTTTAAGTGGTAGTAGTATTCTTTGAAGCGCTCCCCCAGGCAGCCGTAGAATTCAACAGTGTTTAACTCAAGCTACGGTCCCTCCTAAACTTGCAATATTTATTTAAAAATATAATGGCTGCTGCCAAGAGAGGACTTCAAAGAAAGGAAACAAGTTAAAACTTATCATTATGCAGGAAGTCACTGCAGAAAAAGAGCAGGAAAAGGTACAAAGAAGGGTTAACGATATCTTGAAAAGCAGAAGGAGAGGGAATTTTGAAGAAAAATTGAAGAGAGAGAAGAAAGGGAGGAAATTCATCCTAAACTGTGAACTTTTGGGCTAGAAGAAAAATACTTCTGAAATGCTAGTTGTAGTTTTGTTGGGGGCAAACGCAGTCTGTATGTCGGTATGTAATCGTGCATATGGAAGCCATTGCAGCTAAGGTAGAAAGAATGAATTAGAAGTCAAGTTTACCACTACACATACTAATTTAGGACTCAACAATTAATAAATCCACTTAGTATCAAATCAGAAATTCTGTTACATAGATGAGATTAGTCCCAGATGAGACAGGATCTAGTAATTTTTTAAATAGCATTATCTAGTTCAGCTTTTAATAGTCACCATTACATATGTATTGAAAGTTCTCAATGACTCATATATAGATTGCAATCAACAATACAGAAGTTATTTACTTACTTGAAGCATTCTACAGAAGTAACCTGCAATTCTTCCAAATGTGAATGTTGTACATCACAAATGCATTATAAGAGTAAAGCTTCATTACAAATCAGACAGGATATAATCATTTCCAAACTAGAGAAAAATAGCTTTTTTATTTAAAATTAATTACTAACACGTTCTATATCAGGGCTACTCAAGAAGCAACTCCAGTTCAGCTCCAGACCACAAATAAGTTTTGCTTAAGCTTAAACCAAGGTCCCAAACGCATGAGGTCTCCCTTTTGGAGGAGCCCTCTGTTTCTCAGCACCCGCGCGCCCTGGCCGGGAGAAACAGGCTGCCAGCCCACTGCCGCAGCCCCCGCCCCGCGGCGGCACCTCTGGGTAAAATTACCCACAGGACCTTCGCAGAAAAGTATAACTTAGATAAAGTTAATTCAGTAGTCCTGCTCTACACAGGCAAAGCTAATGCCATTTTAAAAGTATATTCTAAAACTTCAAGTATTGACATCTGCATTGACATAAATTTTTCTAAACAATGTTTACATTACCTTAAGGAAAGGAACAAGATATGGCTGAGGAGATGATTTGAGCTCTGACTGAAGGCGGCCTGTAAATTCTTCTGGATCAATCTTTGCATCCTTGGTGGGGGGGGAAACCCACAACAACTCAGTTCAGTTTTTCGGTTGTCTCCAGATAATAATGAGAACATGCACAACTGGCAAGCTCACATTGTAGAAACACACACATACACACACACACACACACACACATCCCATGCATAAACATACAAACATATATAATATATTGTTAGCTAGGATCTCGTATCCAGACAAACACTTAAAATTCAAGTCATTCAGCTCCTCTGTAACTATAAAATCCTTCTATCAAGAACTAATTCATGTATTTACCATGCTGCTCAGAATTAAAGAATCTCTGACCCTCAGGCACACAGTTCCCTCAGGGATGCACACTTTAAGAAACAACAAGATCCCACAAACACTCAAGTCTTTCCAGGAATTCCATTCTCTTGATAACTTCTGCACAGTGATTTCTTGTTAAAAATATTAATCTAAAACCAGGTAGCTGAAGTAACCATGCAACTATTATAACAGGTGCCAGCTCTTGTGATAAGAAAATATTTTAACTTAATTCCAAAACCAATTTTGAAAGTCCGATTTAATCTAGTAAATACGCACTTGTGGATGTGTACACGTAGTACATTTGCATATATATAAATTATACATATAATGAATTAAATACATGTGCACATGTATATAAAAATGATATTGTATATAAAATACATACTTATATATTCTCAGATTGTAATAAAAACATCCATGAGCTTCTTTGGGCTGATATAGAACAAAACAAAAACAAACCAAAATACCATCCAATAAATACGCACGTGCCTCAATATTTTGTTTAAAATATAACTAGTGCTTACCTTGACTTAGCTAAGCTTTCCTAGTTTTCAAAAGCCAAACCATTTTTTTGCTGGAATCATTGAATATCATTGTTGAATGGCTCTTACTTTAAAAAAAAGTCCTAGGCTTGTCTAAAATACACAGGGGTGTCTGACAATCAGTTCAAAGAAATATATATCAACCACTTTCAAACCCAAGTTCTTCATAGAGCATATGTAATTTCTTTTAAGATGATCCACTTGACCAAATCCATAGTAATATCTATTTGCAATACATGTATATAATTCACTGAAACATCTATTGTACTGGACACTACATTAAGTCAGGCTTTTTCCAGGTCCAAGGATTCTATCTAGCTGAAACACTTTGTCTCTTGAAATCCATTTGCAGTTAAGGCTCCATGCAGCCACATCCGTCTGCAGGACTACCTGGACTCAGCAGCTTAGCAGAATATATTTCCTTTAGTCCTAGAAACACTAAACTGCACTGTACAGGGAGATCTCTACATTCATACTGTGGTTACAGCAGTTACAGTCACAACATTTAATTGCTTTTTACTGTTCCATAAAAGACCGTGGTTTAGAGGAAGAGAAACTTAAGGAATCCTTAAGAAAAAAAAAAATCTTGTATTTTATTGCATTTGTCTAAATAAACATGATCAAAACATTATCCATTAAAACAAGAGTATTTTTCATAAATGCCTGCTAACTAATTTGTCGAATTTCCTTTCCCATAAGCTAAGGGAAAGCCTAACTTAACAGATTTGTGAATATATGTAACGCGTAAAATATTTGCATTTTGATAAAGCCCATCCCCTTTCACTACTAGCATAGCAAAAAAAATGGTTAAGATTAAATTAATAACTTTCAGCATGCATAAATAACATGTTTAATATATAACTGACAAAATGAAAAATAACTAAATATTTACCAACAAATCCTGAACCAGAGCTTTCACATTACGGGATGTTTCTGGAGAAGGTGAATTATGAGAAGCAAGTTTTATAAGGGTAGCTAAAAAGTTTTTGCATTTTTTCACATTCTCTTGCATTTCCTGCAAAAGCCAAAACACCAGAGTCAGATGCATGCTACTCATTATCACTGCATGACCTAATCATAAATAAAGAAAATGCTGAAATGGCTCTCATTCAGATAGGAGACATTTGAAATACATCTGCAGTTATTTTAGTATTGTTGCCAGTTATCTGGCAGTTTCTTCACTTCTTTATGTAACTAATACCTAAAAATCAATAATTTTTTAATGATTCGTTCAGTATGTTTGTACCAAGTAGCTACAAAAGTAAAATTAAATTAGAAACAACTTCCAAACTTTACCATATCTAATCTTTTCTTCATCAGTATAAAAACAGTTGTTCTAATTTTTTCAGTCATCATTTTTGCATGGTGTAATTTTGTCTTACTGTGAGAACCAGAAATGTTATACTTCAGTGTAACAACAGTTTTGAGGCCCAGCAACATAATAATAATAATGAAGTCCACAGACTGGAGGCCAGATTGTTCTGATTACAGAAATAGTTCTCTCTCTATTGGAACATATGTGGCAGGATGGGGAAAGCTGACCATAATCGTCCCTCTCAGAATCTGTATTCCATTTAGTTGAAATGAGAGGAAGGGTTTCTAGATTGTAAAGAATCACAGGAAGCGGACTTGCATGAGAAAACGTTCTCTCTGTTTCTGTATAGATCGGAAAAGTTTACACAATACTAGGAAAACGAAGTATCTAGAAATTATATTCTTACCTGTGATACTACTGTAGTTCCGGGTACAGGAGAGCTTGGTATGACCTGGGGCTGCGCTGGTACTTGTGCTGTTGTATGAGGTGGAAGCGGTAGCCGAGGCTGACCCTGGGCCTGCGCTGAAGCTTGAGTTTGTCCACCAGTAATTACTGTGGGTTGTTGAGAAGCTGATGTTCCCGTTGCTACAGTTGTCTTGAATAAACTCTGAGCGCTTGTTGCAGCTACTGATACCTATTAATATTTTATATTGAAAAAAACAAAACAAAACAAAGATCATTCTCTTCTTTTAAATCTTTTACTCAACCATGAGGTTCTTAAAAGCTCAGTAAGAAACATTCATTTCCTTTCAAATTCACCTTTGTTGACAAAATAAAACCACTGACTTCACTTAATTTTGTCACCCTTTAACCGTGCTGAACAGTAAAAGTTCTCATTAAAAGTTTTTTTATTACAAAAATAAATACATCACCAAAAATTAATTGCTATAATCCAGCCCTTTAATATCACCATGCTGATATTACTTGTGTAACTCAATTTTCCGTACAATTGGCCCTTCATATAAACGCATCAACTCCCAATGATGTGTGGTCAGGTCACCAGGTTTCCAATTATGTATATCACAGTTACAGTGACAGCTCAGATACAGATGATACAAATGCATTAAAACAGCTTCCAGATCTAATTTGGGCCCAGCAGCAGTATATACACTTTTGCACAGCACAAAGCCCTACCCCAAAAAGCTGTCCTGGACCTAGCCTGGCCACAAGCAAAGGCTGTCTCTCTCACTCCTCAACCGTATAAGCTTATCAGGCTGAAGACAGCACCACATACACACACACACACACTCTCTCCATTTCAGGGCTCACACTTTGCCTGACCCAATATGCCATGTTTCGAGGTACCAAAAACTCTAAAGCAGACACACCAAACCGCACTGCAGAAAGTGGAAAGCTCAGCCAGCCAGCCAGCGTGAAAGCGCTGAGCTGAAGCTACCAGGACCTCCCAATCCAAGCTCACTGCAGGACTTTGCTCTGATACAAAACTCCAAGCACTTGCACTGGGCCAGTACAACAGCAGAGGTACAACAGCTCTCTGTGGGGTCCAGCATGCCCAGCCTGAAAAAATACTTATGTGAGCAGCTGATTTAAGATTTTTCTTTAAAAAGTAGCTTAAAACTGAACCTATATTAGCATTTTCAAGAAACAACATAAAATACATACAAAACGATATCTAGGCTAGCATTCAAAACCTGTGTAATGGGGAGCTGATTGTACGCTATTAATTTTTGTGGTTTGCAATAAGAGTAATTTATCTCAAAGTCATTTTTGAAAAATCATATAGTTATAAATTTCCTTCCCTTCCCTCAATCTTTTGTGTTTTATATTCTTACTACTTACCGTGGTATGGGAAAGAATAGAGCCACCTGGAAGAGTCGCAGCAGAAGTAGCACTAACTGGTGTAGCAGTTGATTGAACAACTTTGGCTTGCACTGGAAGTCCTAGGCGGACAGTAGATGTGGCTACAGACGTTGGCTGCTAATAAAGGAAAAATGAGGAATATTTTTTTTCATCTTTATAATTTGATCTCCAAGACTTTTTAATAACAATGATTATATGAATAATCATTAACTCTGCCAAAAGAAAAATTATAATATGCTTAATCATAACTTATTCTTAAATATATATTAACAAATATTGCAAAAATGAGCTTTCTTACTGTTCAATGGTAAGATGCTTGCAATATTTCTCCTAAAAGCTATTTCTCCTACAGCTATGTCAAAAGATTAGAAAAAATACAACGTGATCTGTGCAAAATTGATGTTACGTCAATGTGTTAGTACAGTTGTAATATTTACCCGATGTTATTAATCATCAAAATTTGAGTTTATACTTGTCAGTAACACACATTGATCCACTTGGTGTATTCCAATGATTTTTCTTAAAAAATTAATTTGGAGAGAAAATTTAAAGAACAAAAAAAAATTTTCAAAATAAATTTGGGTCAAATTCTATGTTAACATTGTACAGTAATCAAGTCCAAACATTTTGAAAATTATTGGCACAGAACTCACACTCTGTAATCAGAAACAACTGGAATATTAAATATAGATGAAGGAAAATGACTGACTTGCAACCTCCCACTAATAGCAACTGAAGAACAGTACATTTTTCTTATACAGCAAATGTCTACTATATTTGTAATTTACTTTACTTGGGAGAGATATATTGAAATCCCTTATATCAAATAAAAGGATAAAGTACACTAGATTTAGGAACAAAAATGTGAAGAGGAAAGTATAATTTAATTCTACAGAAGTGTAAATATGATTATGGACAAAATGCATAATTGCACACAATGTTGCAATTCTGACAAAAGATAACCATTTGTTATCAAAAATGGAGACCCCAATTTTCAACAGGATTCTAAGCATACAGTTATAAAACGTGGTGTCTGCATGTAAAGTGGAATGGTACATGCAACTAAAGTAAATCAGCATCTAGCTACTGCTTCACATTAGCAAATTCAAATCCAAACCTAAAGCTGAA